ATTTGTGTGCTTAATACTCTGTCCTTCAAATAGGACTTGGACCTATAGCCAATTTTGACTAAATGTGGTAGAAACTCTGTGTTTTCTGGCTTTGTGTAAATAGGCAGCTGCACAGAGAAGAGGGATTTTTAGTTAAAGCCACACCGAGGATGGAGCTCAGTCCTTCTGGGATGTTTGTTGGTGGCACACTGTTTCTGTGGCTTTTGAAGTTTTATTTTACTCAGGCAGAGGCAATGAACTGCTATCAACATGAACTTTTTTGATAGTCATTCTTGTACAAGGTGCTTGTGATTCTGGGCAGATCATGTCACCTCTGTCTCTTGATTTTTCTTCCCCAACTATTTCCAGTCTGGTGAATTTAGACGATAAACTTTTAAACTAGCTGTTTGTGCAGCATCTTGTCAAATGGAGTCCTAATATCAAGTGGACCTCACTAATTCTCTTGCAATACGAGCAGCATGAACAGCCCTCACAGCATAAATAGTCCTGAGCCCTCAGAGGCATCCTTGTTTCTAACACCACATCAATGTGTTTTTCTGGAGACTGCTGCGGAGGAGCACATCTGTGTTTGATTTTTGCATGCTTCCATGAGGAGGCTGATAAAGCTAGCAGGTATGCTGTGGGCTCCCTGCCTTGGCTGCATCATCTCCCAGCTGGCCTCTTAAATGCCCCTCATGCCTCTGGTCAGGGGCAACTCTTAAAAGCAGGCTCCCTTCTGTCACCGAGGCAGATCAGCCCGAAGCACCTTATCCTGCTCCTCTGGGCTTTCCCACCCTCCCGCTTCTGCCACCCAGGACAGGGCTCTTGGTGACTGCTTCTCTAAATGGCTTTTGTTACGCTGAAGACAAGGTGGTGTCTCTCTGTTCCCTCACAGCTAGCAAAGCCTTTGCCTGAGTGGGTTCTGGCCCTTAGCTGGGTTTTTTTCTTGTATGGAGGGTCAACTCCTTTTCCCAGCGTGTTGCTGCTTCCTGGGAGACTCCAAGAGACTCAGTGACTGATTTTCAAATACTGAGTTAGTGATGGAGCAGCAGGCATTTATGCCATGACACCCAGGGGATGCACCCACAGGCACCATTGCCTATTTTGGACTTCCTTTGCTTGAACTTGGTTCTGTAGAAAGAAGAAAAACATTGACAAATGAATGGAGAATGTTCTTAGGAATGCAGATAACAATTTTTTCTCAGGAAGAAAAGCCAGAAAAAAATTGCACAAGCTGTTTCAAAAGCATGTTTAAATGCTCTCTGCACTTCCCCCAAGTCAACATCCTCTCATAGAGAAAGAGGATAACAAGTTGAGCTGCAAAACAGTAAGTGGATTACTAGTTACAATTTTTTTTTATAATGGGTTGGCTTTTGTGAGCTTTTAAAATTGTTTCGTAGATGTGTGGGTATCCCAGTCACACTGCCAAAGGTTCATGCCTGGAGTTGGATTTGCTGTTGGGTGAAAACAGAAAGAGGGGGAGGAACAACCAGGCAGAGCAGAGGTGGGCAACTTTCTAACATGGCTTTATGCGTGGGTGGGAAAGTTTCCGTTTAGCTCCCTGGTTGCTCTTCTCACTGCCCCAGTCCCAGGCAGCACTGTAAGAGCCGGCTCCGCTGCTTGTGTCAATCCACACCAATGAAAATATGGGAAACGTCCAAACTTATTATCTGTTGTGTTTGCAAGAATGACAGCTCTGTTTCTGACGGTGGGGAATGGGGGTGACATTTTTTTCTGCAGCTATACTGGTATTATGTAGAAGCCAGAAAATGGGCTTCAAGATAACTTTGCCCTATTGATTGAAATACTGCTTGCTTTTTAGTGTTTACTTTTGAAATTGGTAGGTGCAGCTACAATAAGAAATCTGGCCTGTATAATGTGGTGATTCATTTTTTCTAGAAGTTTACATTGGTTTTAAGAACTAGCAATAGGCAGTGCTTTCGAAGAAAGGTTTTATACTGCAATACTTTGAAAATACTGTGACTTACTCAGAGGTGCACATTTGAGGAATTGTGATTTTACCTGTTCTTGGGCTGCAGCAGCTATTTAAACAAGAGTTCCGTGTGGGAATACAGTGGGGAACTTTTTTATCCAAGCTGGAATTTTTGAAGTACAGCAGAATAAAGCCATTAGCTTTCTTAACTTGAAAATTATTTCAGAGTGTATATATACATATAATACATCCAAGGAAGAGTGGTTGTAGCTTAGCACAAATAACAGGAGAAAGCAAAGTAAGAGAAGCACCGATTCAAGCAGAGAATAAAAAGACAACAAAGTAGAGAGTAGAGTTGGCCATTACTAAAATGGACTCTGGTGAAACTATGAAGTGGTAGTGGGGAAAAAAAAAAACTTCTGCCCCTGAAGCACTGATACTTACCATAGGTGTCAATAAATAAAAATCCCATGTTTTGAATGCTGCTGCTAAATCTTATGCATCCCACTTGTGAAAGGGTAGTGTGCGATCGGGCAAGAGAGGCACTGCCCCTTGCTGGGGACTCTGCTTTGGGACAGTTCATTAGCCCAGATGAAACTGGACTGTTGAAGGTCATTTTAAGTTGGAGCGAGTGGAGGATATGGGAGTGGGACTTCTATATTTGGCTCCCAGGGAGGGCACTTTTAAAGAATCAGAGGCTCCAGCTGTTGCCTTGGCTTGAAGGGGTGAAGGCCTGTGAAACTGATGGGAGAAATCAGTTGTGATAAACCTGCACTTCACAGTGGGGAAAGATTCAAGAGACTCAGGTTGACATGAGGTTGCGCTTCCAGGTAGTGTCAGGTTGGAGTGTCCCTTGGTCACTGACCCTCAGGGAAGTAAAATCCTCTAACTAGCAGATCTTCTTCTGCTAAGCTTTGTGGCTTTCTAGTTAGGTGTTGCAGTGATGCTGAACTACAATGTTGTAAAGGGTAGTTAGACGTATCCTCTCAAAATCTCATTTTAAATTGTGTCCTGTTGCTTTGGAATAACTCATAGTTAAGCTGGAAAAATCTGTATTTTCAGTTGCAGTATCTTGTTTGTCCTCCTCCTCTAGAGCCAATCTTCAAGACTATCTAAAATCTATTCATGAATCTCTGTTTCTGGTAATACCAAAGACCCCAGTCAAGGTCTCTTAGACCTATGTTGTACAAACACAAGAGGAGTATATGATATCTGCCCCAGTCTGGAATAATAAGAGTCAAAGACTGCTCGCTTCAAATGAAGTTAAAGTATCATCTGCGGCTGTTCACTAGACCTTCCAGAAAAATGCAGGAAAAAATAAACTGGAACTAGATATGAAAAACTAAGAAAGGACTGAACTACCAGGATATGAAAATGGAAGAGATTTTCAAAGCCATAGGTGATGCTATCCGAGTTTTTCATTTGCAATTTGCCTCTATTGTGAGTTTTGAGTCATGGGGCTCAGCCAAGCTCCAGAGAGGCATGGCAGGAATTTGCAGTGAGCATCTGTCCAATGATGGTGTCATTCTCAGCACTGGTGTAGGGCAAAGGACAAACTTGCAGGAAAAGGCTGAAAGCCCATAGTGGTCAGGATGGCACAGACTACCTTATGCATGTATGAAATGAAAGCTCTTATGACATCAGACAGAAGAAATTTACCATAATAAAAACATGACTATATGCTGAAATTTTGTTCCAAAAAAGAAAATGCTTGAGTTAATTTCTCAGGCTAAATACTGTAGATGGTAAAGATGACACAAAGATCTAGGTCTTTAACAAAGAACCAGAATTCAACTCTGTAGCTTTTATTTCCATTAATACTGGAAGCATTAAAAAAAAATGGACAGAACAGAGACTCTTCTACACTGTATAGCACCATTCATTCTCTGAGATCTGGGGGGATTTTATGTGTTGTATCTGTACACCAACAGAAACACCCAGGTACTGGAACATAAACCCATGGGTCTCTGAATAGGAAGTATTTAATTGGGACAGACACCTCCTTTTACGATAACATCTCTTTGAATTTTAATGGCAAGCTCAAAGCTGCCGAAAGACTGGGATTCTCAGCATCTCTTATTATTTTACAGCAGAAATTAGCACCCCAAAGTACATTTGAAATATGTCTGCAATAACTGTGTGCTGTTGGTGGATGGGATGTCAGTTTTTCAAGTTTCAGCAACATATGCATTAAATTGTTTCGTTACTTGGCTCTTTGCTTCTGTATGACGTAAATAATCAACCTGCTAAATCTGTAGATGGGACTGAGCAATCATCTCTGCTTTAAACCAGTTGTGAAGCAAATGCTGATGCACTTTCTCCCTTCTGTGGGTTACTGTTGTACTGCAAACTTCTCACTGCCTGTAAATGGGTATTGTACAACTCGGGAGCCTCCATTGTGGAAAACATCATACCAAGTCAGAACAAAACAATTATCCCTGCCCTAGGGATCCTGTACTGTCCTTTTTTACAATTAATCTTCATGTTTCTTTTTCCTGAACTGAAGTTGGCTGAGCAGTTGCAGTCACTGGAGTTATTTAATGGAGTTAGATGTGCACAGCACCTTGCCACTGAGCCCAAGGAGACATTTCTCACATTCCTTCCAGTAATACTCTCTTTTTAGATATTACCTTTATATAGATATTAAAAGAAATTGAAAATTCAACTTCATTTATGTGAATAAGAGCAGTGTCTATCCTGCTTAGCTAAATGCATCTTGGATATGGGTCTCAGCAGACTGTATCCATGAAAGACACTGGAGGCAGACAGCTGGCAAGGCAGCCTCTCACTGTGTGAAATGTATGTTAGTGTATTTGTAGGTGATTATAAAAACAACTTTTCAAGGTTAGTGTCTGGGTTTGCTGCTGCTTAGCACATGAACAAGAGTCCAAGGGCTTTTTCTGTTTGGCTACCTTCATTATTATCTGGGGGGTAGGGGTGTGTGTGTATTTTTCTCTCCCTTAGAAACAGAAGGGCTATGAAGTCTGATGTTTCATAGTTTTGCTGAAGGACATGTTGAGGGTCTCAGGAAAACACACCAAGGTGACAGAGATAGTGAGCTTTGAATGTGTAGAACAATCACCTAGAGCTAATTAGTGGTTTGTAGTTTTAAGGGATAATCAAATGCTGGGTTCTTATAAGAGACTAAGTGTGTAGCATATTGCTCACTCTGAGGCATTTTACATGCCTTACACAGACATACAGACAAAATAATTGTGGAAATGAGAAGGATTCCACTTGCTGCAGACAGAGCAGCAAAGACAAACTTGTAGCTGGGTTTTGTCTTAAATCTGGTGCACGAATTACCTGGAATTCCCTGACTTGCTGTGTGGCTTGACCCTGCTTTGTTTGAAGCAGTCACGCAAATGTGGTAAGTGGTGTATGGTAATAGATTATATAGAGTGTACTGCCTTGCTGTGGAATAAATATTGTCCAGGACAAACTGTCTATCCTCGTTGCCTTGGGCATGAAGTATCAGCTCATAGGTGCGAACAACTGAATTTGGGGCACACCAGCGTATCTGCGCAGAGCTATCTGTAACTTCAGACACCTCTCTGAGCCTCGGTGCATCTGGAACCTCATCTTCACTTGACATGCCAGGACATAAACATTGGGATGCTCTCTGAAGTTCACTGCATGGCTTCTGAAGGTGTCTGCAAGGGTTGTAGTCACAGGGGGTGTATGCCAGTTGCACTGGGGTTTCTGTTGACTGTTCATTGTAATCGTAGTCATCTACATAGTGTATCAGTGGTCTGGTGGATGGAGGCTCTGACCGAGCATTGGTCTTTGTGGAGTTCAGCTGTGGTAGGCTCATTTGTGGTGTACCTTCCCCAGCATGAGTGGCAATGGAGTGGATGTAACGGTCAGTGGCATCGGGGTTTCCTGTTCCTCTAGTAGAATAATCACTAGTGGGCTGGCTGAATGGGCCTTCCTGGGGAAACATTGCATCAGTTATTCTGAGCTCTCCCTTTAGCTGATCTGTTTCAGTTTGACTTGTGGAGCCATAATCCAAGGGCTGATTATAGAACTCTTTGAGGAAACCTGGGGAGGTGGTTGCAGACTTGATGGAAGGGGGATTGCTCGTGGATTCAGAAACTGCTGCCTCCTCGTGGAAGGAACTGTCGTCCTTTGTGAACATCGGCTCAGTTGGGTTGGCTGCCATCGTGCTCATTACATTCCTCTGAATTAGGGAGGTGGTATAAGTGTCTTTGGTTAGCGGAGCAGAGTCTGTTGTTACTACAGTAGTGGCATTGTAACTGGTAAGGCTGAAAGCATCCTGTTCAGGAGAGGGTGTGTTTGAATCAGGTGTAACGTTTCTCTCAGATTGGCATTTATCATAGAGCTCTAGCAATGAAAAAGATGTTGAAGGTCTGTCCCAATCTTCCTGAGATGTGTTGCAAAATGTCTCCCAAGCCCTGCAGAGGGGACATTAGAATATTAGAGTATAAATGTCAGAGGCTCCTGTAAGGCTGCTCAGATTGGAATTGGCAACCTGCTGTCCTGAAACAGTCTTCATAGTAAAGAAGATATTGTTGTCGGGGTTGAGGATGTGATGGGGGGGGGGTACGTGATGCATAAGAATGATAGGGAATTTCACATAGATTAAGCAGAAAACAAAGGACTGACTGTCAGAGGCCTCAGGCAAGAATACACCAAAGGTCATGTAACAAGCACATCCTAAAGAAGTGCAGATAAACCAGCAGACACCAAGATCCTGAGAAATCCACAAACTTCTCAGTGAGCCAACTCATGACTATATATGGGAGGAAAGACTCAGAATTCATGGAAAGGACACGAAGAAATACCACTTCCACAGCCACCAGGAACCACCAGAGACCATCGAGGTCCCCATGGCAGCTCCACAGAGACCCAGGCAGCATGTCTAATGACTATGCAAATATGATAATTAGTTCCAGGAGATAGAATAAATATGTATGAACATTCCGGGAAACTTAATGCACATGCATGTAACAGGGTTATATAAACTTGGGGTGAGGTGACATAAAGCATGCACATTAGGAGGAGAGATCCTCCATGCATCCAGCGCTGTAATAAAGAATGCCTGCTTTTTAATGATACATTGGTGTTAAGAAGATTTACTCTCGATTTCAGTGACAATATGAAACCTAACCTAGGCTAGGTTGTCTTAATGATAGTCCTGTACTTGGCAGACGGCTTTGTACAGCATTGGGAATTTAACTGACTGGCTTTTTGTTTTTTAAGGTGCAGGAATATCTTTTGCCTGAGAGGAAGCATCCTTTGGTACGAGAACTGTGAACGAGAGTGTCAGGGTTGAAGGCGACATGTCGTAAAGGATCAGACTTTAATGCCACACTAGGAGGGGGATGCAGGGAGATGTAACAGGGTCCCCAAGATCCTTAAGCCAGCTGGTTTAGGCAGCTGGAGCTGTGCAGACACAGGATGTGCTTTTAAATGGCCGAGCTCGAGTTCTTTCTTTAGTCAGATGTTGTATGTTTTTGTAAAGAATGCAACTGCTAAGCCCATCCGAATGAGAAACAATCTACTTCCTTGCTCTCTCCACTACTGATGACAAATCTTCTTGGTGGCCTTTCAAAAGGAAGAGAGATCATACATATGCAAAGTACTTCTTTTAACTACAGCTTATTGTAATTAGTCTATAGGAGAGCATGGAAAAAATAGGTGACAAAGGGGGTGATTTGCAAGGGGTTTTGTTGACTGCCTGTGCTGATATAGGATTTGAGAATGCAAGGGCAAAGAGGAAGTAATTTGCTAAGTATCTTGCAAAGTCTTCCAGTTCCAGCTCCCAGTGGTGGCCTCTCAAGGCCATGAAGCCAGCTCATTTTTTATCTCCAGTTAATAGAGAAATATGAACCGAAATAGAGAAAATAAGCTATTCTCACCTTAAAGTAGAATCCACAGCTAGTAACACTTTATACTGTTCTTGCATGTGCCTGTCGCATTTGTCTACATTCAGGTATAATTCAGCCATGCTTTGTGCCTGAAGGGGACTTTATTTTGCATTTCTACCCCTTGTGGAAGGGAAGAGCACACAAGGAATTTGAAACTGTCATTTGAGATGACAGTGAATGTTTGGACCCCAGATAACTTACATATTTAAGTTGTGTCTGAAGAGCATTACTTTTTCTCCTTGAACTCACTTACTTTTGCAGCACAACTTTCTTGGGCTTGGAGAGCAGCCAGGAGAGCTGGCAGTCACATAACAGAGGATTTCCGTACAAGTTGATGATGATGCTATCTGACGAATTGATATCCCAAGGATTAAAGGAACTCAGGTTACAGCTACAAGATGACAAATGCAATAATTAGCAAACGGTGAGCTACCTTCCAAGGACCGGAACGTGCTTAGTATTCCAGCATGTGTGTAAGAAACAAAGCAATACTCCCAGTTCCCTTGAAAGTAGCCAGTTATCGATACCACAGTTCTGCACTTTAAAGTCCAGGTTAATACCTGCCCATCTTTTGAATTTGTACACAGTGTCATTACTACACAGTGTTGGTGCTGTTTGTTAAAGCATAACAAAAGCATCGTAAGGGCGTAGAACCTTTAGAGATGGCAACTGGAAGGAAAAGCATTTGGCAAGGGTCTTCTGTGAAAGATGATCTCTCTGCCATCATGCATTCAGCTACACTTTTATATTATACCATTTTTCTAGCTTCTTTCTCAGTCTGCTTGTAATGGCTTGACTTTCTCTAGGCCAATCATCCTTTTCATGTTAATTGCCTCTTTATAGACTAGACTCTCACCTACTAAAGTCAAATGACTAATACAGGAAGACCTTGTTTGTCTTTACTGTTATGCTGTCCTAGCTGCAAAAAGAGTGTGATAAAGTGACCTCCTTGCAGTCTGAGTGCTCAGAAAATGCTCTCTTTTGTCTATGACTTTAACTGCTACTCTTTAAGTTTGGGTCATAATTTTTAGCACTTTGAACTGGTATTCCTGCAGGTATTGTAAAGTGCTGTGTAAATTCAGTGTGGCAAGCTAGTGGGGGATGGAATTCATTGAGATTTTTTGCCTAAATGGGTTTATTTTCCTGAAACTGATTCCTAGAGCACGGTCAGTGCTCTAGTGTTTGTTTTCCAATACATGTATAAGCTGAGCCTGTGTTATGGAAATCTTTTGAGATGCTCTCCAAATCTTTTCCTTTATGCTGACTATTCAGTGTGCAGTCTACCTACTCTTATCTTGATAAATTACTTTCAGACTTTTGTTTCCCTTAGTATTTGAACAGGTGTGTGACATAGCAAGTAAATCACACTGAGATGTTACCTATTAGAATAAGGACTAAACCATTACTAATGCTGAACAAGGAACTATATTAATATCCCACTAAAAGTGGGAGGGACAGGATTTTTGACTGCTTCCAAGGTGCAGATTTTAGGATACAGTCAGCATTCATCTGAGGTAGAACAAGGAATCCTCAGTGACCCACTTCTCTGGTGAGACATTGTCATTGTAGATGTTGAAAGCATGGTCTGTATCACACGTGGGCTTCAGTGGACCTATGCTAATCTTAGCAGCACTACATGAATTCATCCAGTGGTCTGGGAGATGAGGAAGAAGAGTGGCAGCACCAGTAACTGTGCTATGAGTCTCATGCCCCCTCTTTGAGCTGTATCAGCTCTTCTGCTATATCTGGTCTACACCTCAGGCTTTACATGGCATATCTGAATATAAGACAGTGTGTTTCTGTGTAGCACACAAGCCTTCTTCCTAAGCATTTGATAACAAGAAAATTTAGCATAAAAACCAGCTCCCACTTTGCATAAAAATCAGCTCCCAGGCACCACAGTGCTGCGAGGCAAAGGTCATATTATGTGAGGAAGAACAAAAAAAGAAAACAACTCACTTCTCAAATGAGAGATGGCTCAGATGAGGAGTACTGTCAAACATCTCTGTCCTCACAAAACCCAGCGAGTGGGAGTCTTGACAGTTTAGGTCTCGGAGACCAGGCATGGACTTGAAGAAGTCAGTATCAAGGCTTCTTAATTGTGACATCTTTGTCAGGTGAAGTGATCTGAGGTTGGGCAAGTCTCTGGTCCACTCTGGTTGAACTGAAGCAGAAAAAAGACTTATAGCTGTTGCCTAAATAGAGCATTCCTGTAGATTTCTGCCTAGAAAAAAGTTTGAATTCATAGAGATATAAAGTAGCTGTGGTCTTCTGCAGCTATTCTTTGGGAAAGGAACAGAACAAAAATCAATACACCAGTGTATGAACACCCATGCAATCACATTTTTGTAATATTACCTGCAGGTCATGCTGTTGTAGGGCAGAGGAGAAGGGAAGATAGAAGGGCAATAAAGCTGATAAGAGATATGGAATATCTTTCCTATTAGTTGAGATTAAATGAACAAGGATTCCCCTTCTCACAGAAGTGGTGGGTGGGGAGAGGTTAGAGAGGTCTACCAAGTCCTGACTGGTGTGAGAAAGGCAAATATCTTCTTATTTTTCCTAGCACAGGAAAAAGAGCTGAGAGGCATGAAAGTGAAAGAATAGGTCTTGTACAGAAGTGCCGTTCCATCTCATGACTGAATTGTGTAACTCACTACCACAAGAGAGATTAGGCAAATTCATGGAGGAAATTCGGCGGTGTATCTGTTAAATGTGAGTTGAGGTGAAACCTCTAGCTCGAGGAGTCCCTAAGGTCCTGGCTCTGCCCCAGGCTGAGAGCAGCTGGGCAAGGCATCTAACACCTGTTTGCCTCAGCACCTCAATTGTGAACTGTGGCTGGCAGGGCAGGCAGACAAAAGAAAAAAATCGTGCTGTAAATTCCTCAGGGCAGGGATTGTCTCCCTGTGCGGAAGTATTTGCGTGGTTGAGGCTGACAGAAAAAGCCTCTCTCTGTGCTACTTCAATACAGTGGTATAAAGTGCAGTGTAGCTGTGGTGATAGACAAAGAAAGATTTCAGCAGTGTGTCTGGAAAGAGAACTGAATTTCCTTCTGCGTGTCCCATAGCTAATCTCAGGGCTGAAAGTGGAATTGTGATGGAGATGGGGGACTACAGTGGGACAAATAGTCCTGTTTGGTGTTGGTTCTCTGCCCTGGTCTGCGTGAGGGTCTCTTCCCAGCAGTTACATAACCAGCTGGAGAGTGTCTTGCACACCTGGACCAACTGTTTGCAGCTTTCAGTGTGGGGTGTTACTCCTCCACCCTGGGCTTGACCAGGATGGGAGCCATTGTCCTAGCAAGGCTTCTGTTCCCCCCAGCCTGACCAAGCCCTGTGTTTACAGTGGGAAATCCAGGAACTTACTTTTCTCAAGAAAGGTCCCACTCAGATCAAGCACATTGATGGTGTTTCCAGGCCTGTTCATGGCCTCACTGGGAGATGTGCTGATGGCAAAAGCAGAGCCCCTAATTCCTCTGCTGTCATCGTGCCCGAGCAGCGTTGAAGAGAGGTTCAGGAACTGTAGCTGAGGGTAACAGGAAAATGCCAGCGGCTGGATTTCAGTCAGTGGATTTCCAGCCAGGGACAACCACCTCAAGTTAGGCAGGGCAAAGCTGTGGCATGATGGCACAGACAACAGCTTATTAAAGCTTAAGTCCAGGGAGAGGAGACTGCTGAGGGCTTCAGATCCCCATCTAACTACCTGGAGAAGGTTCTGCCTCAGTGAGAGGATGCGCAGCCGCTGGAGGCTTGCTATCTCTGTGCCATTCACCTCTTCTAAGAGGTTGTTGCTGAGATCCAAGGTCTCCAGGGCCTCCGGAAGGCAGACAGGAAAAGCTGTCAGGCTGCTGTTGGTCAGCTGCAGGGTGATCCAGGTCTTGTTCTTCCAATCATCACAGGACATGCTGGTGAGATTAACATTGTCCCAAGAGTCTTCCTGAGCCAGCTGGAAAAAGGTGGTGACGTTCCTGGATGCTGCAGGCTTTGCTCTGTTCACTGGGCCTGACGCTGTGTTTCCCACCAGCAGAGAGAAGATGAGCAAGTGTGGAAACATCCTTCTCCTAAATGGCTTGGCATGCATTAACTTGCGAGATCTGTTTGTTTTTTGTTTCAGGGAAGGGAAAATAAAACATCTGCATTACGAGCTAAATTAAAATCCCTCTAGGCAGCTACAAGCTATTGAAAAGTTAAACACTTATAAGTCCTTTCCTATTGCATCCAGACAGTGGAAGTGATAATTAATGTATCTTCTGTAATTAAGCCTAAGTAAACATGAACACTTGGGGACAGAAGTATCATGCGATCTTAGTCTAAGTGTAGCTACAGATTTTTCATGCAGAAAGCAAGGAAGTTGTATCACCACGTGCCCTGATCCCACGCCAGTACCTGGGGTACCAGTCTGGCATGCAGACCAGCAGCAGCGCAGGACGTGGGCTCCCCGGTCCTCCTGCTCGTCTGCCTCTGTGCAGCACAAGGGTATGACAGTGCTGGTGCTACTCCAGCATAAAAATACCAGTTGGTACTTGCACTGGACAAGCTGCAGGAGAGCTGCACTTTGAGACTTGCCCTCCTCTGTTCCTGACCCACTGGCAGTGCCCGGGAGCCTGTCTGCCAGGCAATGGCAGGGCTGGGGCCCTGCTGCAGGGAAGTGCCGCAGATGTGATACATGCTCCAACTCCTGGGGAAAGGATGTTTTGAAAATGCAGCTCCTGAACCACATTTCAAGTCAAAGTGGTCAGAAACTGAGAGTGTGCTCCTGGATCAGGGCCCCCAAGGCCTGGGTACCAAGAAGCATGTTACCCAGTGTTACAGTTCCCTCCGTGCTCCCTCCTCACCCCACCCCAGCTTTGTCTTTGTCATTTAAAAAACAAAAGAAAAAAGTCCTAAATTAATTGTCCAAGGCTGCGCAGGTAATCTGTGTCAGAGGAGGAAATTAACCACAGTCCGAAACCAGTGCTTTATTTACTGAGCTGTCTTTTGTGCTGCCAGGCATCATAACGGTTATTCCTCATACAAAAACATGACGGTGTGTGGGGTGACTGAAGCCCCGTGTAGTATGAAATATCTCAGACTTATTCTAAACATTTATAGCTACTTGCTGTTCCCTGAACGGTGCCAGGACTTGCCCAGACCGTCAGCTGTTGCTACCATCCCAGCCTTTAAGTAGGGACCAGCAAAATAATAATAATTTGGTTGCCTGTATCCTTTTTGTCATCTGGAACCGGGCAAGAGCTGAGCAGCCTCAGGGCTTCCTGGTCACTGGAGCTGCTGGAGTCCCAGTACATGGCAGGGAGAGGATGGGAGGAATTGGGACTGCTGGATCCTGATCTTAGATTTAATCTTAGTCCCTGCCTCTAAACCGCATCCGCTTGCACGTACCTGTCCAGAAGTCCTGATGCCTCGTGCCTGTGCTCTGCGTGGCTCTGATTGCCTGGCCTTGATTTTATACACTTGGGTGACTCAGCTGAGAGCGTGAAATGCCTTTCTGCTCCCAGCTTTCCCTGCTCGCGGCTCTGCCCACAAGCGCAGGCGAGATTTGTTCCAGGCTCACTCCCCCACATCCAGCTTTCTCCTGCCTGGAGGAGAGGGCTCCAGGCAGCTTTCCCGCTCGCTTGGCGGTAGCAGGAGGTGGATGGGAAGGCTCTCTTTTATTTCACAACACTTGGGCAGGGCGGCTCCAGTTTAGTCTGTCTTTGTCTAAGCAGAGGGAGGTAAAGGGAAAAGATCAGTGTCTGTGGTCCCAGCTGTCACCTCTTCAATTGACAGAAGGCAAGTGAGAAGAATTATTGTGTTTCTTTGCTGACAGGTCATGATGATGTAAAGCTAAGGCGCTGTCTGCTGACATGGGCTTTGATCGCTCTCTTGGCGCCAATAAAAGGCTTGAAGTATTTTTATTTCTTTCTAAGACTCTTGCACTTGGGAGTAAGTCCTGGAAATGTTCATGCAGGACAAATGACTTTTCTAAGGAGGCCCTTGGGAAATGCCAAAAGCAAAGCTCTCACCTACCACTCATGCAGAGAGGAATTTTGTTGGCTGATGGAGAGGGCCTGCAGTGTCTCACGCCGCATGTGATGGATTTGGGAGGCCTCACCCTGTCCCACTGTGTGTGGGTTGTGTTCTCTGTTCTGCATCTGCCATACCGTGTGGCTTGGGAGAATTCCCATTCAGCTGCTTCTCTCATCCTTTGCTGGATAAGTAAGACTGACAACGTAAGAACATCTTCCACCCAGGGGCCTGCCCTGAACTGTGTTTTTCAGCATTCCAACAATTCAACCAATAATTCGGCTTGTCAAGGGCTGAGAATAAAGCCAGGAACTGGAAAAGGATGAATTGATAGAGATTGTTCCAAAGTAAAAGCAAAAGGTTGGTTGTTCAGTTGCTACTATAAGACAGTTTATGATTAAACTTTCCAGGGAGAACAGTAGTCAGTGCTTTTCATTTGTCAAGACAACAAAACAGATCCTTGACATGAAGGCAACACAGATCTGTATGCTTTGGTGCTAAAGTGCACATAAAGGTCTTGCCTTCCCAAAAACCTTGAGTCTGCATGTATGCAGACTTTATCTATTGACCATGTCAGTCAGTATCTGCGTGGGGAGAGAGCCTTGAAAAACACCAGAACATACACAGAACAAGATACGTCTTATAGTAGGACTCTTTGGAGTCATTGTGGTTCCCTTGGAGACTGGGTAAGATGTACATATTGTTCTCTCATGTGGAATGGCTCTAAGGCAAGACAAATAGTTTCCTAAATGAAGGGCTGATCCCACAGATTAAGCCTAGTGAAGCAGCTCCCAGGCCTGCACTTGGAGCAGCATGCAGGACAGGCACGTGTGCACCAACAGGTAGCTCCAGAGATCTGCACTCCGTTAGGTTCAAAGGGCAAACTGGGGCAGGTTAAAAAAAAAATCTGAAGAATTTGGTATAATAGGAGGAAAGTCCAGCCCCTGCCAGGTCGGTGGAAACCATGCCTTCCTTTTGGCTTTGCAGAACTGCTGGCTGCAAAGCTCCTCTTTGAGAGAAGCCAGGGAAGTGGCCTCACTTTGCCTTGGGCAATAAGTACCGGTGTTGTGTTTGCTGCTGTTAGCTCAGTATTTACAGTGAATTTTCATTGGTTATTGTATTGTTTTTAATCTTTTAAAAAACTATGCCATGAAACCTGGAGAGCCAAATGTTGCCCTGCCCTGTGTTCAACCTTTCATTTTGGAGACTGGACAAGCAGCCTTGTAAGACTGGTAAAGCAGCCCAGCCATTAGTTAGCAAGCAGCCCACTTAGTGAAGGTGGAAGGGAGATGGAGTCTTTGCCTAGAGGCGCTTGATTTCTGAGTGGTACAGAGAACCTCTTGCAAGAAGCAGAGCACCCTTGGAAAATGAGCTTTTGTTGGTTTTATTTTCCACCTTTGTTACTGCTTCTTGGATGCCCAGTTTTTGAGTCAGGCATTGTATTTTCCTAGCTCTTTGCCTAGCTGCAAACTCTATCATCTGGAATATTACTGCTATGGTACTATGTCTCAAACAGCTGCTTTTGGTGAAGGTTTTCCAGGGCAGACAGCAGCCCTCCCTCACCAGTTTCTTTGAAATCAACTGGTAGCAGCAGGCAGATATTCCCCTTTGTGAGTTAGGTTGGGCTGTTCTCATGTTGCTGTGTTTTTTCAAGTTATTTTTCTCATTTTTTTCTGTTTTTCTAAGAGTTTCAGTGGCAACGTGGGGCAAGTTTAGTAAAGGCAGGCTTTTTTGTCAGCCTTTTCACATGGATGACGCACAAAGAGCTGAACCAGATGACCCCTTCCCAGAGCTGATTCAGTGCTGCGCAAAGCCCTGCTGCCTGCAGGAATGTAATGCTAGGGATGAGCTCTGCATTCCTTAGTGACACCGAGATAGGCAGAAGCATGGGGAGAGCAGGAGAAGGTGAGGATGGTACGAGGCTGTAAAGTTTAAGATGAATGTTTCTCACTGGCCATGATCCAAGTGATGGTTAAGAATGAAACTATCCGGAAAAAATCTGGAGAATGGCTTTTAAGGCCAACAAAGAAAAGAAGAAGTATTTCGCAGGTCAGTCCACAGAGCAAGCACAAGCAAGACGTTTTGCTACAGAGAACAGGGAGAGAATGCAAGAACAGGATTACTTAGCCAGAGGTTTCAGAAAACTATGGGGCAGGGGTGTTGTCTGCTGCAGTAACATGCTGAAGGCAGCAGAGAAATCCCCTGTGGAGTTTGTTGTGAGAACAGACAGCAGCCATCTTGGTGCCTGAAATCAAAAGTAACTCCTGAAATACACAAAGTAAGTGTGGAGAGGAGACATTGTTTTATTCTGTGCAGGGTGAGAGGTGGAAGATTTCCACAAATCAAGCACAACCGTGGGATTATTTACTGGACGTTTATACACAAAAGTTACAAAGCCCCACTTAATACAATTATTCTGCCTAACACAGTCATTATGCTGAGAAGCACTGTCTTCTACACCTGCACAAGGGTCTCAGAGGGTCTCTGGTGGTTGTTTGGGGAAGAACACACCTACTCATTTTGTCCTTTTATGGTTATGCATCATCTGAGGATACCAGAGTTCTTGTTTTTCTTGCCAACTCCTTGATTCACAGTCTCACAGTGGATGTATGTCCTTGGTTGAGCAAGTCTGTAACCATGCGATGCTCCTTCTCTCGAACACTGGCTGCTATTCAAATATTTTTTCATGAGTTGGTAATTATCCTTAAATTATAACCTTATTCTTAACTGTTAGTTCACCTTGTTAAAATTTATCTAAATGTACATCACCAAGGTAACAATCTGACTTTAGAGTGTTTTACCCTGACCTGACTTTTGTTTAATTAAGCACGATGGTCAGAGTAGGGTTGCAGCTGAGCTGGGGTATTAGTTTCCTAAAAGTTTTTGTTTTCACCAAAACAACATTCCTGCCCAGGATTTTTGTCTCTGCCTTGCAAAATTTCAGGGAATATGCCCCTGTCTTGCTTTCACTCTCTCTGAACACTTCACACATCTGGCACCCTGTGATTAATAACTTGGTTACTACAGAGCACTGAGCCTATGGTCTTTAAC